AAATGAAATTGCAGATTGATGCTCAGAATATCTAGGGATAGAACTGAAGAATGTAAATAAAATCTAGGTGTGGTTTCTGGCATAGGACTAGCACTGAGTTAGTAACCATTACTATCTTATTAAAAGCTGCGGAGCGTTGAGAATTTACTAACTATTTAATACAAAATTTTGCTTTGTATTTTATCAAAAGTATTTTATTACTAGAGGTAAAAGGAATGTTAAAAGTGATACTAAGTAATTTTTTATTGCATAGCCCTTTAAGTTAATTATGGCGAAATTCCAGTATACTTGTTTTCATTAATTTAAAATTGAAAAGGGAGGGAAGTTGAGAAGGTTGTGGCATCCCTGTGATATTTCTTGTTTGAAAGATACCCAATCTAAGCCACACTTACTATATTCGGGTTAAAACAGTCATTTGTCCCCCGCTTGTATAAATCATCCTGTTTTAAAATTCTGTCTTATATCACCAATTCAGGAGAAAAGCAGAAAAACATGTATGTTTCAAAATATGCAAGTGCTTTAAATTATAGAGCTAAAACATGCATTGCAGTCTCATGTTCAGTTTTCAGGTAGCCACAGAACTTGCAGCCTTTGTCCTCATAATTTCTTCCATTCTTATGTGCTTTAGAGTCCCAGTGTTCTTTCTGGCTGAAAGAAGATATGTATTTTGCTTTAGTAGCAGAACATTGGTTATCAAGCTTTTTGTCTTTAATAATTCTGCTTTAGGGAACTGTCAATTAATAATCCCTGGAGGGAACACTATGAAGAATTTCTGTAATTAGATCATAATGTAAAGGTTTGCTTAGTCACAATATTTAAAAAAAAATTTAATTATGATTTTTGAGCGATGACCCCAATCTTTCTGTCTTTTACATTCAACTGCCTTTTAAAATGCTTATTTCTTCAATTTCTCTTATTGTGTTCATTCTCTTTTTAAAGTTTGTGAGTATAATTAAAACTATCCTACCTTTGAGAACCCTCTGTCCTCACCTAGCAGAATAAATGAAATATGGATACAAAGACTGAGCATATAAATTATCTATAAAAAAAAAAAAGAAAATGCCTTCTACATAAGGCTTTTTGATTCCCTTTAATTTTTTTTTTTTCCTTAGAGCTCCACGGCTATTTTTTTCTCTCTAGTCCAGTGATCTTGTTATTAAAGCATTCTTGTAAAGGTAATTTAGCACACATGCCTCATAGTTATTAACCAAGTTCTACTACATTCAAATACCAAATCACTTTGCAAATGTTATGATACTTTCTTCCCTCCACTAGCACAATAGCTTGGGGTATGGAGGGGTCCAGGGGTTTCTTGGTTGTCCTGAATGACATTTCAGAATTCCATGACAGTGGTGGAAATTGTTTGGGGTGTTTTATTTATTTTTAAAATTAAAAAAAAATAATAATTAAAGCCACTCTCTCTCTTTTTTTAAAGATTTATTTATTTATTTATTTATTCAAGCACTGGGTACAGTCAGAAGTGCGGGAGGGTGAGAGAATTCACCAGAGCCAGAGCTGGGAACAGAACAGGAAGACCAACAAAATACACTGCTGAGGGTAGCAGTGGGCATAGCAGGAGAGGTCTGTTGTGCCATGTGGGACCCTCGCAGGTGGCTGGGGATCAAACTGACGCTGCAGTGGCTGCAGGCAGCTTCGCAGCCCAGTGCTCAACCGCTGTGCCACCAGGGGAGGCCCTTGGGGTGTTTTAACAAATATTGATAATATATAATAAGGATGCCACTCTGAGCATAGATTCTCATAAGTCAATGACATTAAAAATATTTGCAGAATAATTTATATATAAAAAAAGATATGATTAATACAACAGAGTTAACCTTTGGGTTAACAGATTTAACCCTTGACCTAAAAGAAAGTTTGGAAAAGGGGGCAGAAAAGAAATGCACAAAAAGCCCTTGGCTTATACCCATAAACACAAATCTTTCAAATGTGCTGAACAAAAGTTCCTTCTTATACACTGCTTGTATCTTTGAAATGATTGTGCAGTATTGTTATTTGTGAAGTAGTTAATTTTTAAAAATCAGAGACGACTTCATATTTAATCATACAGTAATAGAATAAAGGAATTTTAGAACTGGATGGAACTTCAGATTCTCTACCCTCGTCTATGGGGTGCATTCTGAGAGGAGTCAAGACAGAAGGATAATACCTATTTTTAAAGTTTTGGGGGCACAATAGGTTTAGGGGAAAAATAAATCCACTGCATGCTTATGGTGATGTGAGTTGGCCTGAAGCTTAAGCAAGAGCACAATTGCTGACTTCAAAGCACAATTTTCTGTTTTTATTTGAAGATGATGATGTTCCTATGTTTTAAGACAGGTTCTCTTTAGGACAGAGTTTTGTAAAACTCCAAATTAATTTTTTTCTTTCTTCTTCCTTCTCTCTAGCCTCAAGATAATTCAAACTTTGGACTCCTGCTCTTCCATTTCCCCTCCGAATAAGAGAATCAAACAAATGAACCAAACCCAATCGAACAAAACAGCTGATTACAGTTAACAGAATTATTAGTATATTTCACATGAATTTTAATTCTGGTTTGTTCTGGTTTTAATGGTCAGGAAAAATGTTTAATATCACTGTGTCCTTTTGAGGTTAACTAATTTTAGTTCCATATATATGGAACAAGAATTATATATATGTACATATAAATATATCATTACTTTATACTATTCATTTCAGATTGGATTAGGTAGACATGGAGAAAAACAGAGGACTGTTTTACTGTGGTTATAATTCATGCTAAGCTTATGTGTGTATTATGTTGTGGCACAGACCAAATTTAGAAAGAATGATTTCTGAAAGGATTCTTACCATGAGTAAACTCTGAAAAAATTGCCTTGAATACTGTACTCCTTCTGGATAATCACACTTTTGTTCTATCTCGGTAAGACTGATTGTGGCTGTGTTCTAGGAGTGCACTGTAGAGCAGGATAATACTTTAAACAGAAGAACGCATGAGAATCCTGGCCTTATTGTATTTCGTTCTTTCTAATGCTATTGATAGGAAAGGAGAAGGGTGAATTGTTCCCCTCCCCAAATATTATGTGATTAAAATGGGAGAGCTTTGGCAATCAGAAACAGTGATTACTTTTTTTTTTTTTTTTCAGTTGGCTTAGTTTACTTTTACTTGGCTTAGTGTCTTTTTTGATAGAGTACTATAGGAAATGAAGACTCCTGTAATGATACAAAAAATGACAGTTCACTGCTGTTTCGTATCCCAGGCCAAGTGTCTCATAGGCTCTGGTGAGAGTCGAGTGTCTGGGCAGAAGGTCTCAGGTCATTACCATAAAAAGCACTTTGGCACCCTGTGTCATAGAACAAAGTGTCAGTCCAGTTCCCATCACTAGGTGCCTGTGGTGCCTTTCTTAAATAATCAGTCCCATTCAGACAGAGATTAGGTCCTTGATCGTCTTTCTATTTCACAAGCAGTAATTTTTTAAGGCTAAATGGCACTAGAGGCAGAATGTTTTTGAAGTAAGGTTTTGAAAAGAACTTAGTATATCCCAAAGCTGGCTTGATTCTCCTTTTTCTCAAAGGTCACATGCAAGTTCAGTTCTGACAGCGTTGACTAGTGCATCTGGGCAGAGGCAGGCCACATTCACTCCTGGGAGGGCCTGAGAGTTCTTGTGCAAGTGTGGGTCAATTTATCTTGTGTCCTGAATCCTGGAGTGGAGAATCAGACAAAACTTCGATTGCCCTACTTCGACCCTTCAACTTCATTGAGGGGTTGCCCTAAAATATTATTTTTCTTTTTTAGACTTTTCAAGAGGCTGAAAAGCCTGGTAAGTGAAGATGGCCAAGATAACATTGCAACAACAACAAAATGTGTTTTTTTTCGAAAGTGCATTTTTGGAGTTCCAATTAGAAAATGTGTTTCTCTGCCTTACTCTGCATATGCCCCAATGAATTTCAAGAGGTCAGAGCAGGCAGAGTACAGCTTTTGAGATGAGAAGAGCTTGCTCTTTAAGGAGCTATTTTTACCCACAAGTCAGAGAGTGTGTAGGCATCAAAATGCTGGCAGGTTTGTCTTACAGTAGGATCTAAATGTGAGGCTTTTAGTTTCCAGGTGAAGGTCTCAGTGGGGCTCTTCCTGCCTGCTCTAGGAAAGTGTGGTTCTGTTGATTATCAGTGCTGTGTTGGAGGAGGAAGTGACCAGCCTTTCCCAGAGGACCTCTTGTGTAGTGTTCATTGTGTCTGGGCCTCCATCCACTAGAACAGAGACCAGTTTGAGGTATCTGGTAGCCATGGTACAAGAAAGGGTCCAGGATATTCATTAAAAATCATTCATTAAAAATTTGATGTCGTCGACTCTAGTTCCTGAAACAAATTTCATCCCAACTCTTAAAGATTCATATCGAATTGTCATCCTTCCGGGGGCGTCATTCAGAGCCAGATTGTGGCAAAATGCAGGCGTGGAGAGGTAATGGGCGAAGTAGGGCATAGGAAAATGCTCTCAGCGCTCTGGGCCTGGACTGTCCAGGCGCCCTGAAGAGGTGCTGGCAGTCTCATCAGTACCAGAAGGGCCTGGTCAGGAATCTCAGCTGCTAAGGGTGACTTCACCTGAAGGGCTGTGCTTAGGAGAGGATGAAGGAGGGGAGGTTTGAAGACAAGATTTGGGAGGGAACCGGAGAGTGAGGTAGAGACACAGATAGTGATGGAGAGGGTGAGAGATCCTAAAAGAAAGAGATAGAAAAATGCCAAAGAACATTAATTGAGCACAAGAAAGACTGAGGAGGGAAATAAAGACACGGAGAGGTGAACTCAAGAAGGGAGAGACCGAGGAAGACAGAGACGGCGAAAGCCAGTGCAAAGAGGCCAGGCCTGGGAGACGCTGGTTGAACAGGGGTGTCAGGAGCGAGGGAGATGACAAAGACTTGAAGCTTCCCCCCCACCCGCTTCTCACCTCTACCACCCTCCCTCCTCCAGCGTCTTTACTCTCTCCGCCCAGCCCGCGGCCAGGAGCGGAGCGCGCAAGGTCGCCCAGTCCTCTCCGCGGTGCGCGCTGAATGGCTGGCGGCCCGCAGCGCCCCCGCCTCCGGCCCGGCAGCTACAGGTCGGCGGCCCCCAGCGTCGGCGCCCGAGGGCCGGGGAGTCCTGCACCCTCCCGCGCCCATCCTAGCCCTCCGCGCCGCCCCAGTGCGCTCCCCGCCACAGCCCGAGCGGTCGCAGTCCTCTTAGGGCCCCCTGGAGAGGGGGCGCTGTGGCCACCAGAGGCCCCGAAGGAGTCACTTCTCACTGCGGGCCCGGCCCGCGCAGAGCCCGGGCGCGGCATCTGTTTACTCGGGGTGATAATTAGTCTCCGAGGGCTCGCCCAGCCACGTGCTGATGTAACGGCCGGTGTCGGGAAGACAGGCGCGCTCAGCTGCTGACCCAAGGAGCCCACACCACGGCCTCCGCGCGGGGAGCCCCAGCGCGCTCCAAAGCGTCCCCTAGCGGCCGGGCAGGTGGAAGGACAGCGCCCCAGACGCCTCTCCGGAGTGACTTCCCCGATTCCCAGGGTGGCGCGGAGAGGTGCCGCTGCTCCGTGCGCCAGAACCGACCACGTTCTCGCCACCCCACCCCGCCCTCAGAAACTCGGAGTGCCTCCGCTGCCCCTTGGCTGTTTTTTTCTTCTGAACGATCAGTGTCTTAGCTCTCAAGTTCAAGTCTCTGGACTTGCCCCGTCTCCTCTCCTTAAGTCATTTCCACCCTCCACGGCAGCCTGGGGAAGCTGGTGGTCCTGGACTGCTCGTCCCAGGGCCGGCGCTGGCAGTCCCAGGCTGTCCGGCTGAGCAGCAGCCCGAAGCACTAGCCTCTCCTTCCCTCTCCTCCCTCCCTTTCTCGCTTCCTTTTTTCCCTCCTCTACTTCCCCCCTCCTTCTCTTGCCTCTTAAGTTTCCTGCACGGTGAATCTAACTGTACCAAGCCTAGGCTCCCGCGGAACCGATACTGGGCGCGACCCGGACACCGGGACACCGACTCTGCCGAGGCTGGACGAAGCAGCGGGACCGGTCCGCGCCGGAGCATGGAGACGAAGCGCCAGGGAGGGCATGTCCGGGGCGCCGGAGACACCAGGCCCGAGTAGCTCCTCCATGGAGCCTGCCCAGAGCGGTCCCTGCTCTCCGGATTTGCCCCTGCTCGTGTGCGGTACGTACCCTTGGCTTCCACAGTCCGGGAGGGGATACCTAGGAGGGACGTGGTAGGGCATTAGGCAGGGGAGGCGGGGAGGGCCGCTGTCTGGGGGACAGGCTGCGCCTGGCAGGTGACCCTCACAAACCCGGGCAGGCTTTCGCTCTAGAAGTTAGCGACTGGCGGTACCCCTAGCCTCGGAAAAAAGTAATGTCAGAGATGTGTGTGTATACGCGTTTCTCTCTTTGTGCGGGGCGGGTGGGGCGGGGGTTCGAACCGGTAAACTGAGCCCGGCTCTCCTATATGCAAATTGCATGCCTCCCTGCCCCCCACGTGTGGAGACACCCAGCACCTAACCCTGGTCAGCTCTACCTACCCCTTCCTCTTCCCGCGCCCCCCTTACTCAGACTCTTGCTCGCTCGCTCTCTTTCTTTCCCTCTCCATCTCTGCTGGTGTGTACGTGTGTGAGCATTGCCAGGGCTGGCGAAGAACCAGCAACCGCCTTTAGTTCGAGCCGCCCGGCCATCAAACACTAGGGCAGGTCTCGCTGCCAGAGACGCCTGGGCTCCGAACCAACCTGCACGCGGCTCGGTGGCCCCACCAGCTCCAGTCTCCGGCGCCCGGGAACTCGCGCCGGAGGAGCGCCGGGCGGGCGCGAGACGCCCCTCATCCTCCCTCCCGCTGTCCCTCCCGCCTGCCTGCGGACCGCGCGCTCGCTGGTTTCAGGCGCTGAGTTTACTCACTGCTTTTCCATTTTTCCTCTCCCCGCCTCGGGTGTTTTTGGTCCACCCCTCCCCATCGAGACCCCGCGTGGTCGCCAAGCCTAACCTTGCTCGGCTGGTCATGGGATGTCTAATTTCATTTGTATCTAGGCTGCTGAGAGCGCTTCTTGCTCTGTAAAGTGGATGTCAGGTGGATCTATGTTTTTGAAGGAACAAAGACTCAGAGAAGGCACCGCCGAGGAAGTTTGAGACGCGGGAGGATGCAGGCTGCGTGCTGGTACGTCCTTCTCCTCCTGCAGCCCACCGTCTACTTGGTAAGTCGCTGCGGGTCTGGCGCCCCCGCAATCCCACCCTGGTCAAGAGGCCGGGCAACCTGGGCAGGTGCGGGAGGGTGAAGCCGCGGGTTCAGCCAAAGCAGCCTTCCTGGCGACTGTGTTGGAATAACTTTGGCAAGCTGGTCTGCGGATCCCTACGGGATTTTACGGGGTTCCCACTCTCGTTTCCCTTTCCAGTCCCCCCCTCTCCTGCGCATGATTCTGAACTGCAGCGTCTACCTGGACACCCAGAAATCGAGGAGATAGGTTTTATAGGGGAGAGGGCAAAGAGAAGGCGTGGAAGAGGTGGAAGGAACTCTGTTAAGTTCATCAACAGAGTTTAAATGAAAGGAAACAGAGGTGGAGAGTGGTGCAGGAATCCGTCCAGGTGTGTGACTTTGGAAAGGAATCCATTCACCTAACCCCGGTTTAGAGATGTGGCACAAAAAGAAGCGCGGGTAACTTTGTTCGACTTGTAGGGTTCCGACAGGACAAGTTTAACTATCCAACAGGAGCACGGCAAGCGGTCAGAGAGAGTTAGGTCAAGATGCTCCTGCCAACACGTAGCGGCGCCTCCTCTCTCTCCAAAGCCCTCTGTTCCACTAAATGACCCAACCTGAGTTCCAGTGTCGAGTGTTTTATTAGGGAATGGCAGGGCAGACCTTGCCGTCAGGGGAGGAATACTAAGCAAAGCATCAGTCCCAGACCTCCCGGAGACGAGTTTTCGGGCGTATGGACTTTGCATCCCTCTGGAACTCGCCGAGGAGACAGCAGAGAACCGCGTCATTGTGGTGGCGGGTGGTTTGGGAGTTGAGGGCGACGCGCCGAACCAGACTGAGAGTGCGATTTCTCTGGTCTGGCTTCAGGGAGAGCCAGGGACACGCAACCTGCTGGCGAAGTTGTGCTCAGTTCACCGAACCCAGCAGCCCATTCCTGGGCAGCGGGAGCGCACTGAGGGCTCCCTGTGTTTTCTCAGAGGCGAGGAGCACTGGGGCGGTGATAGGGCTGGATAAACCAGACTGGGGGCGGGGGCAGCGGGCGGTGTCGTTCCTCATTCCCAAGGGCTTCAGCACCCACACGCCTGGGAGCAAAAGGGTTGCTAGCCCTGCAGTTGAAAGCATTTCCTAACCGTTGCCCTCATGCATGTGACTGCAGGCCTGCTAGCTATGTGATCCCTGTGTATGTTATCGAGTGTGTACCTATGTGTCTGTGAATATGTGTGTGAGGGTGTGTGTAGTTAACGGTTTCAGCTTCAAGAACCCTCAATGTTGCCTGTCATTGCACCTTCACCGCCTGACCATGGCAGTCGCGGACGCCAGAGGGCGCTGCGCGCCAGTGTCTTCACCCGCAGGACACCTTGGGGTAAACAGGTGAAAGCCAGGGCAGCCAATCCAAAAGAACAGCCTTTCTAACTGTCAGCGAAGTCTGTGCCTTCCCCGGTTGGAACGCAGACGGAATGCAAAAAGTGTCCTTCATTCCCCATTTCAATCATTCTTGCCCCCACCTGTGTCCAGTAAACCCGCTGACATTGAGAGCCCAGAAACGGAGGGCAGAAAGTTTGGCCAGGGATAAGAAATTGTTTGAGAGAAGAGCGGAGGGACTGCAAAGCGAAAGCTGCACGGGGGAAATTGTAACAATTCCCTTGACCAGGGAAATCTGCCTGCCCTTCTTCTTTGCATACCTTTACGCATGACCTGAACCTCAGACCGGTTCTAACGTCCTTGGACTGTGCGCGCACACGGCAAAGGCTCGCGGTTGTGGTGCAGTTTATTGCTTGAAGCAAGTATTTCAATAGTCTGGAAAATAATCTATCAAATGAAGAAGTGAAATCAATACGTTGTGTTAAATTTTAAATGTGTTTGTTGGCAGTTAAACCGTTTTCCACTCATTACAACAACAGTGCTGGATTTATTCTAATGCGCAGCGTTCTCAACAACAAGCGCATTAATTCTCCTTTAATTGTAAACTGGGAGCATTTGAAAACCATTCAGTGTGCAAATTATGCTGATTCAATTACCGTTTAGTTACAGACTTCATTACCTGAATGCCTTTTGGCAATACAGGGAAAGGAGACAATTTTTCCAATTTCACTCAAAACAATACGAAATGTGAACAATAAAATAGAGAAGGCGATTTAGAAGTCCATTCTTTCCTCTCCTCTCTAAAGTTGTTTTGTGTGTCGGGATGATTAGAAACCACACGCAGCAGAAAAACAAAAGGCTGGTGGCTGTGACCCAAGGCAGTATTTCCAGGGATTGTAATCCCACAGTTAATATGCCAGGAGAATCGTAGCTGTTTTTTGTGGAGGAGCAGAAAGCTGACTTTTACCATGGAAATGTATGTAAAAGGGTGAATTGGTCAGGACAGGTTGGTTTAAGGAAAGTAAATAAGCGGACAGCCTTGATGAAAACTGTAGGGCAATGAGGCAGACCAAGAGGTAGCCAAAGATTCTTTCTCCATCTATTTTATTAAACACTAGACACAGTAACTAAAATTGTCATTTATAGTTGCACCCCAGAACATCCCAGAACTTTGAAAGAAACTGCAATAGATGTTTTGCAGGTTGTCAGGAGGTGCTTCAAGTTACACTTCACGAAGGCAGGAGTGGCAAAATAATTATTTTGCCTTATTTTCCCCCCTTTAAAGGGACATATGTTAGGGAGGAATTTAATAGCTATTTTTGTCTTTATGAGTTCATATCACAAGTGTATGGTCACTCTATTTAAGCATTGCTTTTTAATTGATATCACAATGCACCTTTCCCTTTAAGCCCCTGGAAACCCAATTATGTTCCCTGAAGAGTAATTGCTGTACTATATCTAGGGAGCAAAATTTGTAAAGGCATCTCCTACACTAAAACCTTTAGGCTCTGCTTATAGAGAAATACCTTAAGTACTCCCAAATTTGGGGAGATATTTTTTTAATGACAAACAGCTCTCTATCCAGCACATCAGTGGGACATACTTAAATCAATTTCCTACTGTGGTTTTCCACATTGGGTCAATGTTCTTAAAGTGTGTTTCTTGGTCCACTGTTGATTCTTTGCATACCTGTTCTAGGTTGTGTATTTTGAATATTTTTGTGTTTAGTGAGAGATGGGTCTGCCCTATTTCAAACTAGGAGTTTATTTTAGTACTGCAATGGGAAGTTAATTAGAAATGTGTCTGTAAAGTTACATTCTGAAACATATTAGCTAGAAAAAAAATCACCACAGGGCTAATTCCAGTCATAAATGCAGAAAGGTAGGGAACCATTTTTTTTAATTAAATAAAGACAGTGGACTCTTCTGGTAATTGAATGTTGATTGTAAATTTCAAAGTTTGAATTCAACAGGAAAGTGACCTATGACTTCACAATACTTGTTAAAAATAAAAATAAAATAAAATCTTTATTCTCCTATCAGTTCTGGGCTAGTTCCAGGATATTTTCAGTATGGTATAATAGGGTAACAGGACTACAACACTTTAATTGAATTGAAGCACATGGATAAATGAGAAAAATTTTGATTTCTGGTTTGAAAGAAAGGTGGTCCTGATTGAGTTATTCTCGAGGGATCAAGCTGACTGATAGGTCAGGGCATAGCAGAGAGCATCTCCCAGCAGAAAGCAGAGATGTCCTGTTTGGTGGTTTACCTATAGGCAAGTTCAGAGACAAGAATTGAGTTGAATGAGCATTCCCTGGGCCCATAAACCAAAAAATTACTTAGAAATTGAGTTCAGAGAATCTGACAAGGGGTTGGATGATGTTATTGCGAACAATCACACATCCACAGTACTATCTTAATGAGAAGATGCTCCTTGCTCTCTGATTTAGGTTAATAGAATAATAACAGCTCTGCTATATATTAAAATTGCTGACAATCTAGTTGCTTTTTCACTAATATGGGTAGGAATTGAAAATTCCCTCTAAACATTGTGCTTAAAAATCATTTGAATCATCTATTTCCTTAAATTTAGGGTATCCAATTACTTTAGATATTAAGATATACAGAGATATATAACCTCTGCACTGGTAGAAACCAGACAGCCTAGGTGAATTCCATTCATTATGAAGTGGTTATTAAGAAATATGGAAGATGAAGGAAAGGCAGCAGGAGAGAGATCACCAATGTCTACCCTTTGGACTAGGTATATGTACCTCCCATCCTTTGAAAATTAAGCCAGCTGCCCACTAAAATTTTTCATCATTTTGAGCTTTTTCCTGAAAAGAATAGCACATTAACTCCCTACCAATGCCTCTTATGTGTTCTCCATTAAGGCCAATTCTTAGAGGCAGTGCTATAAGTTCCCCAACCCCACTGCATTTCCTCATGAGTCTTCTACCTCAGATCAGCCCTCATGATTTAGGAGTAAGCCTAAATTATTGGAGGGGCCTATGTTCCAGCAGCACAGGTATTCATCAGTCCCAAGTTTATCACAGGGCTCTGTGAAGCAGAGTAGTTGCCACGATTCTAGGTATTTTCCTGAAATGTTCAAGTGTTCATTGACCAAGAAAGCAGCTCCCCAGGTGTGTGAGAAGCACCTGGGTTGGATGATCCTTCTGATCCACTTTCTGGAGGATCATGGACTATGTAGTCTGAGGCCTTCCAGCAATAGCCTCTGGGAAACTGTCTTTAGCATTAGGAAAGAATTGCTCCAACTCTCTCAGCGATATTACCCCTGAAAACCATTAAGTTCGTGGCTCTTCTTTGTGCAAAGTTGATTTCTATTTGGCTTTGAATTGTTGACGGCTATTTCCTCCTTAATGAAAGTGTAGTCTGGTTGAAAAGTATATCAGGTGGCAGACAAATTGGTTGATTTTTTTTGCACTTGGTGCCCAATGTCCTACTTTTCTGTCTGAGGAAAGATTTTCTGCAGGATACAGAAATTGACAGCATTGTCCGAGTAATAACCACAGTCAACAATATTTTCAAAAGGGCATTTGAGTGATGAAAGCATTTGGATATTGCTTTTTCAAATAAGCAATTTTCTGTCTTGGGCTTCTTTGATTTTATAGAGGGT